TTTTTTCTTAGCAGGTTTTTATATATATGTATAATAAAAATAAATTTTTTATATATATTTTAATGTCGTCTCATTTATAATATATTGTAAAAATACATATTATAAAAAAATTATTAAAATATGATAAAAAATATTATTTGTTTACTTTTTGCGCTATGAAATAAACAAAAAATTTCATCAAATCACAGTTTTTCTCCAAAAGAATTATTTTTTATGGCAGTGTGCAATTTCAAGTAAATGGATAATAAATTGAGGGAAATAGTAAATTATGTTGGTATGGGAGCGAATGTTGGTATATACCAGAATTTCGAGTAAGGTAAATTAGATAAAAATTAGGTATATTAGGTGTTACCATTATGAAAATTTTATAAGATGTTTAATAAATAAATTTGAAAACCTTCAACCAAATAATAATAATAAATAAGTGCAATAAATAAATATTTACATAAGTGCAGTGCAAAAAATCTCTAAGAAATTTCAATTTACTTTACCTCAATTTACTCGAACTTGCACACGGGCTATATATAAATATTAAAGTTATTATTATAAAATATAGACTATTTAGAGCAAAAACTAAGCAAAGAATTCATCTTTAGTATATCCAAAACTAAAATAAAGAAAGAATTGTATGTATTAAGAATGCTCTCGATATTTATTAATATCATAATATCATATTAATATCATAAAAACTCATTGTACATAAAAATTAACCTATTGCTAAGTACAGCTTCAATACTAATACTATATATATATTGTATTAATATGAAAAAGGAAAAATTTTAATTTTTAGACAAAACTGCACAGCAATGCCAATTAAAAATTGCACACAGCTGTTTTAAAATTTTCTACCTTAAATTAGCTGATCTATGCTAAATGTTTTCTACATAATTTGCTTCACTGAAATAAGTAAATGTATAATACAAAATGTGTTTTATGCATAATATTATTTAACATTGCGTCTACCGATAGGAGCCTTTCAATAGCATAAACTGTTTTTATTCTTTCATGTATATTTATTTCATTTTCTTTATGTTCTGCAAGGTAAAATACGTTGTCTTAAAAAAACAGTCTTTCCGAAACTGATAACCTTTTATAGCTGGATAGAATTGTCGCGACATCTATGTCTAATATCGGAAATATTTGCATTTGTGAACAATAAAAAGTTAATACATATATGAT